ATTACATGTCACTGATTACATCTTACTGATTACATGTCACTGATTACATGTCACTGATTACATGTCACTGATTACATGTCACTGATTACATCTTACTAATAACATGTCACTGATTACATGTCACTGATTACATTTTACTAATAACATGTCACTGATTACATGACACTAATTACATGACACTGATTACATGTCACTGATTACGTCTTACTGATTACATGTCACTGATTACATCTTACTAATAACATGTCACTGATTACATGACACTAATTAAATGACACTGATTACATGTCACTGATTACATCTTACTGATTACATGTCACTGATTACATCTTACTAATAACATGTCACTGATTACATGTCACTGATTACATCTTACTGATTACATGTCACTGATTACGTCACTGATTACATGTCACTGATTACATGTCACTGATTACATCTTACTGATTACATGTCACTGATTACATTTTACTAATAACATGTCACTGATTACATGTCACTGATTACATCTTACTAATAACATGTCACTGATTACATCTTACTGATTACATCTTACTAATAACATGTCACTGACTTCATGTCACTGATTACATGTCACTGATTACATCTCAATGATTACATCTTACTAATAACATGTCACTGACTTCATGTCACTGATTACATGTCACTGATTACATCTCAATGATTATATCTTACTAATAACACGTCACTGATTACATGTCACTGATTACATGTCACTGATTATATGTCACTGATTACATATTACATGTCACTAATTACATGCTATTACATGTCACTGATTATATGTCACTGATTACATGTCACTGATTACATGTTACTATTTACGTCACTAATTAAACGTCACTGATTACATGTCACTGATTACATATTACATGTCACTAATTACATGCTATTACACGTCACTGATTACATGTCACTGATTACATGTTACTATTTACGTCACTAATAACACGTCACTGATTACATGTCACTGATTACATGTCACTGATTACATGTCACTAATTACATGCTATTACATGTCACTGATTACATGTCACTGATTACATGTTACTATTTACGTCACTAATTACATCACTAATTACATGTCACTGATTACATATTATTATTACATGTCACTAATTACATGCTATTACATGTTACTAATTACATGTTACTGATTATGTTGCTCCTCCGTTGAATCATCATCTTATCATGGTGCAGGAGTTTGTGTGCCTGAAAGATCCTAGGAGCTATGTTGTTAGGGGCCATTTTGATTGTCCCCTGGAAGGGTCTCCCATAGCAGATTTGTCCCAGGTGACAGGCCAGACAAAGAATGATTAAACAGAACCTTATGGACAACCAAAAACAAGGAACTCAGTGTCACTTGCCCGGACATGAATTACCGGGGCCCCATCTTGGAGCCAGGCCTGGGTAGGGGCTTGTCGGTGAGCTCCTGGTGGCTGGGTCTCTAAATGGTAAATGGTAAATGGACTGTACTTATATAGCGCCTTTCTRTCCATCCAGGACACTCAAAGCTCTTTACACTAACAGACATTCACCCATGCACACACACATTCACACACTGATGATGGCAAACTACAATTGTAGCCACAGCTGCCCTGGGGCTCACTGACAGAGGTGAGGCTGCCATACACAGGCGCCACCGGACCCTCTGACCACCATCAGTAGGCAAGGTGGGTAAGGTGTCTTGCCCAAGGACACAACGACTGAGTCGACTGGACGGGAATCAAACCGGCAACCTTCCGGTTCCAGGTCGACTCCCTAACCACTCTACCACAGCCACCACAGCCTCTACCCATGGGACCTAGTTGGGCTCAACTCAACGTACAGCATGGGCTCCAGAACCAATCTCTTCAAGATGGGCGGGACTTTATTCTACTCTGGAGTTGTCCATGGGGAGAGTCACTGAGCTGGTGTGGGTCTGCTTTTGGCCCCACCCCAGTAGATAAGAGGGTAGCTTCCCTGCACTTTTGGGTGGGGGGACAAGCTCTGACGGTGATTTGTGTGTGGACTTACACTGTGTGGACTGATTAGCTTTTGTTTTAATCTGTCTTCGACAGGCATCAGCTAAGCAGTCCACACAGCTGTGTCTGAATGGTTTTGTATGGCTCACTCCAACATTCACGTCATTATTAACTGGTCTAAGATCTTAACAGGTAACGAACATTGCTTATATTTTAACACTCATGAAACAAATGATTGTTTCCCAGCCTTTTTGGAGTCCTTAGCGGTGGTGCTGGAAGGTGCTCCAGCTGGGGATTCCTTTATTATGCTGGGGGTCTTAAGTGCCCATGTGGGTAACAACAGTGTGACCAAGAGGGGTATGACTGGGAGGAACGGCCTCTCTGACCTGAATCCAAGCAGTGTTCTGTTGTTGGACTTCTGTGCTAGTCACAGATTGTCCATCATAAACACCATGTTGTATCATAAGAGTGTTTGCTGGAAACGCCTGGCAAAGGAACCTGTCAGAAAGATCTTCAACTCACACCTCTGAGAACTTCAACCCCATCCCAGCTGAGGTGGGGGACATTGAGTACCAGTGGATAATGCTCAATGCCTCAACTGTTGAAGTGGCTGCCTTGAGCTGTGGCTGCAAGGTTGTCAGTGAGAGGAGCCAGCTGAGGTGGTTCATCTGGTAAGGATGCCTCCCTACGGAGGTGCTACGGAGGTCCAACTGGGAGGAGACCCAGAGGAAGACACAGGACATGCTGGAGAGACCATGTATCTCGGCTGGCCAGGGAACACCTTGGTGTCCTCCAGAAGGTCTGGAAGGGGTGGCTGAAGAAAGAGGTCTGGGCTTCCCTGCTCAAGGTGCTGCCCCCGAGACTCGACTTCAGATAAAGTGGAAGATGATGGATGGATGGTTGGAGTCTGTACCTGGTCCCATCAGATCATTTCAATGCATGAGATGTAAATCACAGGAAACTTTTGTGAGGGTTTTATGGATTTTAGTTGGAATTTCTTGTCACATGTTGTACTTCAAAAAATTTAATTTAATTAATTGAAACCAGCAAAGGTGAACCTGGTTTTAAGGTTTTACTTGGTTTTAGGTTTAAACTGGTTTTAATGTTTTGGGATCTTGGTACTCACAACTCGCTGCTCTGCATCAGCTCAATGATGTCATTAAACAACACGTCTCTGTTCCGCTCACAGAACCCGCCCACATCATACGACACCTGGGCACACAGACAGGTGAGCTCAAGTTACGGACAAGTGACAGGTAAACAGGTGTAGAGGGGGACAGGTAAACAGGTGGACAGGTGTACAGGTGTACAGGTGTACAGGTACAGGTAAATATGTGTAGAAGTGGACCGGTAAGCAGGTGTATAGGTGGACAGGTAAACAGGTGTAGAGGTGGACAGGTAAACAGGTGGAAAGGTGTCTAGGTGGACAGGTGTAGAGGTGTACAGGTACAGGTAAACGTGTAGAGGTGGACCAGTAACCAGGTGTATAGGTGGACAGGTGTATAGCTGGACAGGTAAACAGGTGTAGAGGTGGAAAGGTGTCTAGGTGGACAGGTGTAGAGGTGTACAGGTGTAGAGGTGTACAGGTGTAGAGGTGTACAGGTGTAGAGGTGTACAGGTACAGGTAAACATGTGTAGAGGTGGACCGGTAAGCAGGTGGTAGACAGGTGTATAGATGGACAGGTAAACAGGTGTATAGATGGACAGGTAAACAGGTGTATAGGTGGACAGGTAAACAGGTGTATAGGTGGACAGGTGTACAATTGAACAGGTGTAGTAAGCACCTTGCCAGCGTAGTGGTGGACAATGAAGCCTCTGTTCCAGCTGCTGAAGTGCTCGTGGGTTCCGATCTGTCCCTGCAGTTTCTGCAGCAGGGTCTGGTCCGCCCCCTCACCTTTGGCGTGCATGGTAGCGCACACGTCATCCAGGATGCTCATGATCCCAGGAGGACTCTGGGAAACAGACAGGTAGATGGACGTCTCCTCACTCCTGAGAGTCTTGAGGGAGCTCTTTACTTTTACCCATCATCAGATGGTTCTTGTGTGATACCTGGCCATCATTTGGGACTGAAC